AGGTGGGCTGTCTGCCAAGTTCACACAGCTAATAAGCACTGGGCTCCAATCCAAACCCTGGCAGTTCTTAGTTTAGAGTCGGTTCTCTTACCCACTGTGTTACAATTTCCCATACACCTGGAAAGACGTTGCAAATACTAATTTAGAAAATATTTGACCATCTGGTATTCTATTTAAGCCTCACAATTGGCCAGTAGCAGAATAAAAAGATCGTTATTGGGCTAATTTCATAGGTAAGGCAACTGAAGCTCAAATATTAAGTTCCCAGACTATGAGCTCCTCAAGTGTAGGGACAGTTATCTCTGCACTTCTGAGCTCCAGGTTTGCTGCAATGTAAGTGGCTCAGGGTTTGCTCAATGACTGGCCCCACATCCCACAGCAAGTAAGAGGCACATGTGCACCTAGATCCTAGCTCGGCCTTCCATCTCAGTGAAATAATGGCCAAGGAGAAAGCAATTGTTATACACAATAAGCAGCAACCCTGTAGTATTCTGTGAGCATTACAGACAACAAAGAACATTAGAAACAGAGGGATGAGGAAGCAAGGAAGATAGAACACACACACTGAACTAACTGCACCTTAGAAGCAGCGAGGCTTTCCACAAACCAAGAAGGGGGACAGCACTCCAGGCTGGGGAAAGGACACTAAGTAAAGCGACAAAAGAAAGGGCTCAGAGGGTTCAAGGAATGGTGGTTCCCTACAAGAAGGGGGCGAGAGAGCATCAACCTGAGGTACAGATTAACTAGCTGTAGAGACACGTTGAGTGTCCAGGTAAGAAATTAGGCCTTTAAAGCACAGTAAATGGGTAATCATTAAAAGACACAGAAGTGAGTAAATGTGTAAAATGTGTATTTCCAGATATTTGACAACAGTTTTCTAGGTGTTGCTGTCATAAAACCACCACTACAAATTAAAAAAAGATTCACCAAGCAAGTGAAATGAAGGAGTCAGAGAAGAATCACTGATAACGCCAGTGTTTAAAAGCTGCAGTAACTGAGAGAACTGTATCTGAAGCCCTTGGGTAGATGGTATCTTCAATAAAATAACAGAAAGCAAGTTACTAAGAGTTTGGGAACATTATTCTGCAAAGGGATAATCTGATAAGCCAGACCCATCCCTCATGTCCCATCATGTGCCAAGTCAGGAAAGAAATGAAAAGAGCTGGGGAGTAAGCCAATAATGAGAAACTCTAATGTTTGAAGTTCAAATGGAAACACATCAGCACTAGTCACCACTATGTTGGCAAGAAGTGCTTAAGAAATAACCTCAAGCAAATTCCATCTGTTTCAACTTAGCAAAAGTTATCTGCTAAAGGAGATTTCCCTGAATTTGACAAGATAATTTTAGAACATACTGAAATTGGAGAGGTGATGCTTTTAAGAATACAAGAAAAAAAAACACTTTTTTTGACAGATTAAGCTGTGAATGTCATCCTGAAGAAATGCCTGATTATAATTTAGTTTGAAATAATAAATTACTTTTTTTAATGATGCTAAAATAATCCTGAAAATACATTAATATGATAAAAAAATCAGAAAAATATCAACTTTTCATATATATATTTCACATATATAACTTTTCATATATATATATTGCCATATATATGAAAAGTTGATATTTTTCTAAAAAAAAAAAAATATATATATATACATATATGTGTGTGTGTGTGTATCCATAGGACAGAAAGAAGACTGTCACTCCAATTTAACAGCCCCAATTATGCTGTGCTTTCTTTAGACCACTTAAAGTGCTTTAGGGTAAAGATACATGATGCTAATAATACTAGCTAATATTTTTTATCTCTTAAAAATATTTTAATTTCCTCATTTGTTTTTTTTATTATTTGTTTGTTTGTTTATATCACTGTTCATTTTTGTACAATGTTTGCTCTCTTTTCTCAGATGTAGTCCCCACAGAATTCCCACTGCCATCACCACAGTCCCTGGTGCTCTTCCTGCCCTCATTTCTGTTTTAATTTCTTCTTTGATCCCAAGTGTATATTTCTAGCCAGTCTTAGTTAACTGTTATTAAATTTGAGCTTAGCTCTACTGTGGTCAGGGAACATTCTCTGAGCCACTTTAGCATTAAAATTGTCAGACGCTTTAGTCCAGCATAAAATATATTTTAACAAATGTTCCATATGTACCTAAAAGAATGCAAATTCTGCTTCTGTTGGGTACAATATTCTATCTATATCAATTGGGCGAAGTTGATTCATCATTACTAAAATCTTCTACATACTTACTAAGTTTTTGTTTGTTCTACAAACTTGAAGTAGAGTGTGTCTGTCTGTCTCCTAATAGAGTGGTAGATTGAGTTTTAGATTTGTTAATTTTTGTGTGTATAGTTTGATGCTATTTTATTTGCAGCATACATAGTTAAGACAGTACTGACCTGCTTATCATTATGGAATAATCTCAAATTAGCATTATTCTTTGATACTTTATCTGAAACTGGCATAGTTACAGCAACTTCACTTCAGTTAGTGTATGTATGTCTTGCAAATCCTCGTATGGTCTCTGTTTAAAGCATGACCTTCATAAGCATTGTGTAGTAGGCTTCGGGTTATTCATATGGTCCAACAAACTTAGTCTTTTACCTGGAGCATTCAGTTCATTTACATTAATGTAATTATTTATGTATATGGATTTATAGCTACCATCTTACTCTTTGTTTTCAATCTGACTTACTCTTTTTTTGCCTTCACTGAATTGATAGACTGCTGCTTTGTTCTATTTTCCTTCTCATTTAACTCATTAGATAAATATTTTATTTTTCTAAGTTACCTTAGGGATTATATTATGTATCCTTGACTGATTATAAGCCAATGCAATTTACTACTTTTACTATCTCCCTCAATAATCCTAGAATCATAAGATCCATTCATTTCACTTTACACCCCTCCTGCCTCTTGTGCTACCACCATCGATTTTAAACTCTAAAAGCATTACAGATTTGCAAGGTAGGACTCATTTGTATTTAACATACACAATTCCCCTTTGTCATGCTCTTCAATCCTTCCTTACATCTAGGATTAATTTCCTGCTACCTTAAGTTTTTCTCATTAGTACTGATTTTCATGAACAAATTCAGTTTTTGTCTGAAAATATCTTTATTTCATTTTCATTTCTGAATGAATTTTTTGATAGATACAGACTTCTAGACTGGCATTTATTTTCTTTCAATACTTAAAAAATGGTCATTTTGGGACAGGTGTGTGTGTGTGTGTTTTAATATATTTTTTAAGATCTTTTAGTCAAGTCAGTCATATTTTTGTGTTTTTAAAAGTAATGTGCCTTTTAACACATTTGTTGTAGGTTTCTACAGTCTTATATTAATGTGCAAAGTTTCTTTCATAATCAATCTTCCTAGAGTATTCTAAATTTTCCAATTCTGTAACCTGCTGACTTTCATCACCCTGTGAAATTCTTTTCTCTTCAGGTATTACTTCTGCCCCTTTCTCTTTCTTCTCATTCTGGAATTACAGTTCTATATTTGTTAACCCTTTCAGTTGCATGCCATAAGTCTTTAATATCCTTACCTTTATCTTGTGTGCATTTTTTCTTTGTTACAGTATGTTTATATACTGGCATGCCTTCCAACTTGTTAGAAAGTCTTTCTTGTAAACAATCTGTTACTGAACCTAAACATAAAACCCTGAGGCTTATTGTACTTTATTTTCTACACTGTCCATTTGGTTTTCATAAATTCCAATTATGCTGAAATTATCCCTACTTTGTCCATCTTTTCTACTATTTCTTCAACATATTATTTATAGCTATTTTAAAGTACTTATCAGCTAACTCCAATCTGATTCACCTGTGCATCTGCTTCTAATACTGTTTATGAATAATATAATCTTGCTGTTTAGTACATCTAGTAATTTTTACTATGTGTTGAACACTAAATAGAGTCTTTCTAGATTGTACTTTCTATCTGCAAAGCAAAACAAAACAAAGCAGAGGGCTCTTCCGTGACTCTGTGAGACAAGTGCAGAAAGGCCTCGTCACCCAGTAAAGGGCTGAACTGGGGTGCCATTTTACAGGACTTGGTCTGCCTTTGTTTGCCCCTGCTCCTAAGCATGGGTCTCTGCAGAGACGAGCCCTGGGCTCTCTCAAGGAGAGAGCCTTGTATCCTCAACATTAGGTACACTTCTTCCTTTTAAATGTTTTTAGATCAGCTCTTTGGCCCCCTGTCCTGCTTAGCTTCAAAATCTGGTACATGTCAATACTAATCAAATATTGGAGACTCTTCCAGTCTCTCTCTATCTTTCTCTTTTTTTTTTTTTTTTTTACTTTACAATAAGAAATCTCTTGATGCTTTTCTGTCTCCCATAAGCATCTTTCTTCCAGAAGTAGGAGTTGGACTCCCATCTGGCCACTATATTGGGAATCAACAGCTGCACCGGGGACAGGCAGCTCTACAGCTTCAGTGCCAATAGACTACACCCTGGGTTTTTTGACTATACCCTGCCTTCTGGTATCAGATTCTTGCCCACAGCAGGTGCACATTTCAGTGTAGCACTGTGGCAGATTTCAAGGTGCCTTCCAAAATCTTACAGCCGAACTATTCAGCTATCCTCCATACGTCTTGCTGGGAAAACCAGTAATGGATTTGAGGCATCGGATCCCAAGACTCCAGTTTGCACTCCAGCTCTGTGTAATCAGAAAACTTTGCCAAGTTCTCCTCCGCCCATTAACATCCCCCCTTCGATTATGTTTCAGAACTAGCAAGTTTCTGCAGAAATAAAATGTTTCATAATCCTTAATATAATTCTTAATGATTTTTTCTTCCCTGGAATTTTAGTCCAACTAGTCCTTTTTACATCTAGAGTTCTCTACCTCTAAATGTGATTTTTGTAATTGTCATCAGTAGCACTAATAAACGACATGGTGTATCTTGTACTACTAATTACTTCACAGAGTTTCTGAATATTTTCCAAAGTACAGTTTAAATATGCTTTTGAAATAAAAGCATCGATAAAACAGGTACTTCTTACCTCTTCATAAAACTTCACCTGAGGTACAGCTTCATTAATTTCATTCAAACAAAAATCTTTAAATAGCAAGAAACCTAAAGGAAAAGAATAAAAAATTTCAGGGTGGATAATAAATTGAAATTTTACCCCACAGGGTATTTTCAAATTAACGTATTTATATCTCAATCTTTCCTTCACCTGTTTAAAAAAAGAAAAGAAAAGAAAAGCTCTCAGGGAGACAATTATACCCTAGAAGCCAAGAAGGAAACACTCCAGGAAAATTTAGATTTCTATGGATATATTTACACCTGCCTCCTAACTTCAGGGTTCTCTATTCACAGCTCCCCACCCCACTTTTTAAAGGCCCACAATCAGCACTGCTTTTGTTTTATCTCTACTTAGGTCACTACAGTAGCAGAATGAAAACCAAAAAAATAAGAAATACAGGTAGTACGGAATTGTTGGTAACAGTCACCATGGAGCTAATAAATATGATGCCCGCAGGAATAGCACTAAATTCTCTAAAAGGAGAAAGAACTTTCATATCTTTTCTAGTCCTTTTTCTCTCCCCTCACTACCTTATTGTGCTTCGAAATCCCACCCCCAATACCTCATGCCAGAGTAGATTCTCCATTCCCAGATCATTTCTTTACACCCTCACAGCTTCAGGCCTCAATTCCAAACAATCAGGACCTATGCCTGAGCACCTCCCCCACAGCACAGTGCCTGGTGCACAGCAAGAGGCAAGGGATGCTTGCTGGATGAATGTTTGTTTGCTTAGCCTTTCTGTCAGCATCCTTCAGTCAAAGTACTTAGCCCACTGACTTACAAATGTCCCATTCCTTTGCAAGGTCTCACTTAAAGTGCCTCACTTGAAGCTTAACACACAATCAAGCCTAAATGAATGAGTGAAACTTGAGTAGGACAAGCTCACACCAGACTTAAGGTTAGAGATACTGGAAAATAACAGAAAGTCAAAGACCACTTAAAACTTAATTATTGAAGACAAACCAAGGTCTGTGAGAAGAAACAGGAGACACAGAATGGAGCTAAAGTAAGATTCACAAAAAGTCTAAAATGTATATCAACCAGAATTCCCCAGGTAGGACTGAAAAAAAAAAGATTTCACAAGAGTTAATTAAAGTTAGGGTGAGAAGCGTGTAACATGAACTCGCCTGTCACTGTCTCATGAATTCCCCACCACCACTCGAGGAACACGACCTTTTACAAAGGCAGTTGTTTGCGCACTGGGACCAAATGAAAAGCAGTCAGGCCAGGCCAGATGAACAAGCACGGGGTGTAGACCGACCACGGAAAGCATGGTGAGGCCAAGTCATGAAGGAAGGAGGAAACTCAAGAGCCAGACAGTGGAGGGCTGAAGATGTGAATCTCCACCCACTCATACATTAGTTATTTCTATGGTCAATAAAAGTGGAGAGCTACCTTTCTAGTCTATTCATTTCAAAGTAACTTTACATTTCCCTTATCATTTCTCTTTGACCTATGAGTCATTCAAAAACACCTAATTTAATTTCCAAGTGTTTTGAGGGATTTTTTGGGGGGTATGTATTTATCTATTTTCACATAGAAGAACTCTAGTATAGGCCAGAGGTATGGGGGTAGGGGGGTGGGTATAGGGGTGGGGTGAGAGGAGTCACCAGAGACAGAGTGGGAACAGAACAGGCAATTTGATGAAGTACAAAAGGGGCAAAGCAGGAGAGGTCTGTTGCACAAGGCGGGTCAGCTCCCTGACTGGGGATGGAACTCAGACCAGAGTGGTAATGTGAGGGGGAGAGGATGTCCTGAAGGAACTCTGCAGAGTTCTGTGGACTCCGCTCCCCTACTCCAGTTTTGTGGACTCCACCTCCTACTGTAGTTATTAAAACTACAACTCCACCCCCTACTCCAGTCACTGAAACTATAACTCCCAGCAATGCCAAGGGGAGAACTGTGAGGACTCAAGGGTGGAGTTAAGCAACCGCTTTTGGGAATATATATTTGAGGGAGCATGTTGGGCTCTCTCTCTCCTTTGGCCTCATGCTGGTGGCTGGTCACTTGGCTCTTATGAGCTTTCAGTGTGCTGTTGGAATTCCAAGTCAGCGGAGCTGGTAAGACACTCCAGTTAACGTGTATCTCTCTTTCTCTCTTTCCCTGGGTTGTTCCTTTTCTTTCCCCTTTGTAAATAACCCCATTCTTGACCTTTTTGTGTGTGCCTGCAGTACAATTAAATCTTAAGCACATGGGTGAGGACTTGCAGATAGGCAGCCCAGTTCACACCGGGTTGCCCTATAACAGTGATAGTGCTGAGGCTTAATCCTTAGGCCACAGGGAGGACCCTGTTTGGGTGGTTTTTCAGGTAATTTTTCTGATGTTGATTTCTGCTTAATTCGGTGATGACCAGAGAACACGTTCAGTATAAGTTCAATACTGCCACATTTACTGAAACTTGGTTCTGGATCCAAATTTGGCCCATAGGCACTTCAAAAAGAAAAAGAGGTAGGATGGAATATTTCATTTTCAAAAAAGTAAAAGGCAAACAAGTATTTTAATGGTTGGCAGGGCTACACAAGTCCATCTTCCAGATTCCTTGCTGAATCTCTCTCTACTTTTTCTATCTATTATTAACAAAGGACTATTGAAAACAACATTTGTAATTGTGAATTTGTTCATCTCTTTTCAATCTTGTCAGTTTGTGATTCACATATTTCTCTTAATATTTTTGGAAAAGAAAATTATGATGAATATGTGGGCTTTGCTTGGCAAGATGAGAGATGTTTTTTAAATGTCTCGCTGACAGTGGGAACTACTGGGCCACACGGGAAACAGGGGGCTTCCGACTGCACTTGACCTCACACTGAAACTGCTCATCATAGCCCGTCACAGCCTCTGCAGTCTTGCTCCAACTTCCTTCTCCAGCTCATCTTGTAGTTTGGAAGTTCCCTTCACTCTAACAGCATGGATTGATCCCTTCTCAGGGTTTCTACTTTACTCCACCCACTTCGTAAAACACCCATTCCCTGGATCTTGTACAGGGTTACAGGACTCCGCTGAAATTCCCCTTTCCTCAGAGAGAATGGCCACGATTCTCATGATCTCTCCTCCATCCCTCACCCCTCTTCCTTGCTCTCTCTTTCTCCCTCTCAAACACACACTTTGGTTGCAGTTTGTATAAGTACCAAAGCTTATCATATGCATGTTTATTTACTTCTTTATTACCAGCTCCCCCAATACAATATAAATTGCATAAAGCACTGGCCACATGTCTTATTAACTACCACATCTGCAGCAACAAAAACAATGTGGCACAATGGAAGCTCGGGAGAAAGAACAAAGGAAGGAAGAAAGAGGGGAAGGAGGATAAGAAAAGGCTAAAGGAAGGAAAAGGAGGAAAAGGGAGAAAGGGGTATGGATGGAGAGAGGGAATGAAAGGATGGTAAGGGAATGAGGGAGTTGGATGAATGAACATTTAACAATTTAAAATGGTTTCACCAACTTCTTTAATGCAACTTCCATTGTCAATGGAAATGTGTAGGATAAGTCAATGTATAGGAGAAGTCAAAAATTCTTTTAATATACTACAGGAAGTAAAAAAAAAATAGTATGTTCCTCACATCTGTCCATAAATTGAAGTCCTATTCTCTATTGTTAGCAGCTATTGAGATGGAACAGCAAAGAAGAAAGATATTTTGCCTTTTGGATAAATTCTAGATCATTGTGTTCCAGGCTGAAAGCAATTTACCTTAATCAGACTTAAATTACATAAAAACAGATGAAGCATCACTCAGATCAGAACAAAAGCTAAAGGGCAAAATGAAGGCAATAATCTGCCTCACAGGTCTACCTCCTTGGCGCAGTTTTTCCAGATTTTAAAGAGTAAAAATTAGTGAACCAACACCTGCTTACTGATAATTGTGGAATGTGTTTACCCTTGTTTCTATTTTTGAGTCACTGAAAACCGCCGAGTACTGATTAACTCTGGCTTGTATATAACATCCAGGAAAGGCAAATTATTCCAGTTTGCCAACATTTTGCAAAATTTAGTAGATTTCCATTGCTTTTTGTAAACTGTCAATAAGAACTTTTTATAGTAATATAAATATGACCTCTTACATTGCTTTTAACAAGATATAATTTAAAATATTTGGAAATATAAAGAATAAACAATTTCTATGAGAAATTTTCAACTTTTACCTTGAAAGTTTTAAAGGGGAAAGAGAAAGACAAGAAAAGTCTCACAAAAATATCACAATTGCCTCAGGTTTTGCCAAGACATTCAAACACTGAGCAGGAGGATGACTGAGGAACTGCTGAAAGTTCCCTGCAGTACTGACTACTGTGACAAAGCACTACTGACCCCCGCTCTGCTGCGCATGGGGTGCCATGGGGAAGACATGGCCTTTTCCCATAAGGTGCTTATGGGTTGGGGTAAGGGATTGTAATTTATGCTAAGTGACATAAAGACATTAAATATGATGCTGAGATCGATGGTAAAGAGGAAGATGTTTTTTCCTACATAAATTCTATATGCTCAGAGCTCTGAGCAGTGAGATGAACCTACAAAGCATTTTTTTAGGAAACGCTAGAATGCCTAATTATTAGTCAGCCCTTCCGTTCAACCTTATCTTCATAGTACTAATGCAAAAAGGCAATGACAGAAAATAAAATTTATTCAAACTGAAAATAATTAATCTAACAAGAGGTTAATATCCAAGATCTACAAAGAACTCATCAGCAAAACAAAATGGTAAAAAAAAATGGGCAAAAGAGGTAAGTAGACACTTCCCCAAAGAAGACATACAGATGGCCACCAGGGGCTTGAAAAAGTGCTCATCATCATTGATCAACAGGGAAAAGCAGAGGGAAACCTCCATGAGCCACCATCTCACACCTGTGAGAACAGAACACGTCAAAGGACTGGAAACAAGTATTATGAGAAGGGGCAGAGACCAGGATCCTCATTCGCTGATGATAGGAATGTAGACTGGCCCAGCCCCTAGGGAAAATAGCGCAGAAGTTTCTCAATACTGAAAATAGAACTACTATATGACCCAGCAATTCCACTCCTAGGGAATCTGCCTGAAAAACACTAATTCGA